TTAAAAATACATCTTCAATTTACATTAGTTGCATCCAACAGTTTTAATCGTCGAAAGAAAAAAAATGTATTTAAAAATTAATGATTCCAATTGGAATTACTGGAATAGACTGTTTGAAAGGTTAATTGAAAAAAAAAATTGTTTATTTATTTCCATATTATTAGGATATTTTTTTAGCTTAGATCTTTTTACGTTAGATATTTTCTATAATATTTATACGAGTTTGAAGAAGGACAAAATAACAACAATATTTGTGAACGTGCCTGGCCTTCTGTATATTTTCATTTGGATTGCTCGTAAATAGTGTGTTATTTTGGCGCTAAATCTAATTTAATAGTTATCGAATGCGATATAAAATAGTGTGACATCAGTTTAATGAGCATCTGACAATGTGTCGGTCGCGATGTCTGCACGTAATATCGAAGCAGCCGTAAAATGCGGCACGTTATCCAAGCGCATTGTGTGCATGCATTATTATGAAAGGCTTCGCATTCTAGTCAGGATCGTTCCTCGTTCGACTAGGATATCAAATTGACGTACACTTAGCAGCTTCTACTTGCACAGAACGTTTCTTTCATCCACTTAGGAAACGGCAAAGACAAAGCGGCCACTTTGTATATTAACGACTTTATGTATTTATTTATCTTGTTTAGGCGCCCGGTTTTAAAATAGAACGAATGGGGGAGAAAGAGACTCAGCACAGCTCCATTACAAAGTGAATTACACAACCGACTCGCGATGCGAAACATCAAAAGACCTACTATATACAGGGCGATTACACAATAATTGAACACTTACACCAAAAAAATCCATTACTTTCAATAGAGTATACTAACTATTTACGTTCACAAACAAATACAAAGTGATAGTCCTTATGAATTATATAATTAAATTTGTTTTATAAATTTTCTCTATATTTAAAATATATTTTAAAACATATTTAAAAATTAATGTTTTTAAATATGTTGTATTCGGAAGAACTTGGGAACTTTGTGTACACTATGGAACAAGATTCAACAGTAAATCTTGAAGTTCGAAGAAAATCCGTTCAGGAGCGTTCGCCATTTGAGGTTTCAGAAGACACTTCAACTTTCGAGCCATTGTTCAAGTTTCAAAAGTAAATTCTTGAAAATATTAAGACTGCTTTATAGTACATATCATTAATATACATTTAAAAGTATTCTTAAGTTGTGCGACAAGAATTTCCATAAATGTAATTAATAAAAATAATAATAATTTACAATTATAAAATTATTATATGTATACAACTTGCACTCACATACCGTACAAACTTGATAATACGTACGTTCGATATACATACACGAATATAAATTGCTGTCTGGTGCTAATATAGAGAGCAGTCACACTATGTAATTGAATGTTGTTCAAGGAATCTGTCTTGTTTTTAAAGAACATTGCAGTATGTCTAAAATAAAATTGAAAAATATAGACTGTTTGAAAGGTAAGCATAATTCTTATATACTAGGAATTATGTTCACCTTAGCCAGTGTACGTTAACATGGTCGTTGAGTACGTTCGGGCGAATGAAATGTCATCAAAAATCGTAAATACAATTTTAACTTATATTAAAAGTGTTTTTGCAAGTAGTAATGTATATGATACTTAGCAAGTATTGCCTATTGAAAGTCTATATGAAGATATTGTACAATAATTTATGAAACACCCTGTATTTTAAATATGCGGAGGTTTACATGTAATTAATGCTGGCCGAGCAGAAAGTTCGTTCGTTCGTTTCATTTTTATTTTCGGCTGTGAGGGGAGGAGGCTGCAAAACTTTTACAACATGCCAAAAATTAGTCCCGCATCTCGTCGGGGATGCGGACGGATCTAATTTGCATCTTAAAGATCCCCCAAGAACAGCCAACAAGAGCATCACCATTGTTGGTTGGGTCGAAATTAAGCAAAGGGCGTTACGCCATTTGATATTCCTTAAGCATTGCGCCCTGTGCCCGTGTTTCGTGTTGCGATGTGTTTTCAGCATCAAATCGATTTTCCATCCGGTCTGACCTAGAACTGCGCCCAACCTACACCAACCCGATCCCGGGGGGAGGCGAATTTTTATTATTATACAATGGTATAGGCATATACGATTTTTTTTTAATTGAACTTTTTAACTGCTGTTGCTTATTGTTTCTGTACACCATTTATGTCGTCATACTTTATTTATTGGTTAAAGTTTAAACTTTTTTTAATAGAAGAGAAGTACAATACTGTAATAAATCTTTTTTTGTAATAATACAGTTATTTTCAATGAAATGATTTAGTTGTTAATTATTTTACTGGATTCATTGCAATACATTTTCCAAAAAGTAACCTAATAATAAAAACATTCTGCATTACATTCTGCAAATAGTAACGTTATTACAATCATTGTATGTATTAAAGTCCTTGTTTTTACACTTGTTTGTATCACTAGCGAGATGAATGATCACAGGATTCATAGTTTACATATCCAAAATATCAAAATCTGATTAGAATTACTCATATTTCATACATGAAACGTTAGTTGGTATTTTATTTATTATACATATTACATTGTATAATATATTGTTTCCCGTTTACTTTCTTGGTTAGTATATAACATTGTTTTTTAATGATGCAATTATATGTTAAAAGTACAGGTCTTTCAATATTACATAATTCAGAAAGAATACCACAGTTACTAATATTTTAGTATATTGATGATTGTTAAAATTTTATACATATATTATTGAAGGATTATTTGAAAAATAGTAAATGATATTTATAAATTAGTTTTTTTTTTTTTTTTTAATCACACTTCTAAAGTTTCTACAAAATTTGCATGTTTTACCGAATATTTAAATATTTGAACGCAATAGTTGAGTAAATTTCTGTACTCTCAAAGATTAACACTTTGATTATGAAAGTTAAACATCGTTTGTCGCGGATTTGTGAATGGGTGATAAACGGTGCCATCTGTTAATAGAAGACAGATATTTGGTAGATTACTTTTTAGAATATAGTTTTTATTGCAATATTTGTTATTTATTTGACTTAATTGTTAAAATTATTGCATAATTGAGAAATGTCCTCGTATTTAAATTTTTAATAAAATTTTATCATTTTTAATCATACCTTCAAAGTTTCTACTAAATTTGCATTTTTTTACAGACAATCAAATATTTTAATTTAACGATTATTTGAATAGGTGATAAACATAACTGTAATTTAGTAGACTTATTAAAGTAAACAATATATTTTGTATTCGTCTTATAAATTTAATGAATACAATATTGTTAGATGTATATTTTATACATTTAATTTCATTCATATTACGGATAAAATATAGTACCTTTTGGTATGTTATTCGTTAAGAAGAAAACCACCTAGTTATTATCTACTACAATAATATTGCATTATAAAACTTTCACATTAAGAAATTCAATTTGTTTTACATAAATATTGATTTACTGATTTAAAATAATGGTGACAAAGAGTTCGTGATAGAAGCATAAAACGTTTATACAGGAAACAAAACAAGAGAATTGTGTATATGTGCAACATGACTGATTGTTGTTGGTATTGAATTACACGTGCATATTCTAAGTTCACTTATAATAAACAGTGACTTTTATTACATGTTCTTCAATTACTCAGAGAAGGTTAATTAATAACAGTTGAATCACGTTTAAAGAGAAGAAAACAACATCAGGAAATATCATCTCTTTTAATTATACTGAAGAATGTTTGTTGAAGTATATTATTACACGTTATTCTCAAATGATTTATATTATTAATTAGAATGCAGCAATATCCCATATAGACTGGCTTCAATGAGTCCTGTTTCACTGTAGTCCGGTTTGAAAATTTCAACTCAAAATTGATCAAAATAAAAAATCAAAATTTAGTACACATTTTTTTTTTCGTATCTCTTCATAAATATCTCATTTCTTTTTTGATTAAGTTAATGGTGATTAAGAATTAATTCTACTATATTATATCATATTATCTAATCCTATAAGTAACACCTCACTCAATAAGTTCGTAGAATGACTAATAAAACAACTTTTGTGCAATATTCGACTTTATTCATCGGAGACTTTGTTGATGAATAAAGTTGAATATTGCACAAAAGTCACTGCTTCAAGAGTGATACATTCATTCCAACGCTTCTCTAACATTTCGATATCATTTCTCTACTATTTGTCTCGACGGAATAATAACACTTATCAAGCCATTACTTTGCTTGGGCGACTAATAGCCGAATGGTTAAGTCGCCATACCACGATTGAACCCGCTACGGTTCGAATCTTGGTCAAGCCAGGCCCTTTGTGGGCCCTGTCAATGCTTGCAGCAATAGGGCCATCGTTCGTCACAGATGGACAGTGAAATGAATGAGGTTCAGCATATGGACCTTCAGCCAAGTCAATGGACAATGACAGTGTTAAGGATAGTAGCAGATTCACAGTGAAAGGAAATAGTGGAATCGCAGAACATCAATTTACTACTGAAGTTAACCTACAGACGAATTTTTTTTTTTTTAATCATTATAATGGTAACTATCCACCCGGAAAGATTATCCATTTAATGTCAACCGCGATCTTAAATTGACTGAATGTTCACATTGATGAACAGATTGTGAATAAAATTACACGACATAAAAAAATACTTTGGTTGAACGAAATTTTGACAGGTGTCGTCTGAAGGTTGGCCATCTATGTCATCCTACGAACTTATTGAGCGAGGTGTTATATTTAGGTAGCTGTAGCTTCATTTCAAGGAAACAGAAAGTATTTATTTAAATTAATGTATACAATATTCAAATATTACACTAGAGTTCAATTAATACGCGATTTCATTTAAATATGTAGTATGTAAATACATTAAATACCCCAGTGTGTGAAATGTTCATGGGTTGTAACCTAATATTAAATGTACATTAAATCACCCAACCGTTGAGAACATTCGAACTATTCATCCATCAACTTCTTGTAATCCAAACTTATATTATCCAACAGGAGAGATTGCAGCAGCAACTGGACGAGCAGGCGCAACGGTACGAAGAGCAACTCACGGAATTGCACTCCGTGATTGCGGAACTGACCCGGAAGTTGCATCAGCAGCGGACGATGGCCATCGCCGAGGAGGATGAGACTTCCGGTGAGTGATTTATGATTAAATCTGATCTATTAATATACGGAATGCGGCACGAGAAGAAGTCAACGCAAAACGAAGAACAAAAATATGAAACCACCAAAAAAAATGTATGCGCATTCCTGGTGTGAATTGATATTTCTATTTCCAAACGTAACGAGTATCTTGATTTATTGCGACGCTATTGCGTTACGTTATGGTAGTGCACTATTGCAGTTTTACGCAACGCGAAAACAGTTAAACGTTGAATTTACATCTCATGTAGACGGGGGAGAGCATCGTTTATTCAGTTAACGTTTCAATTGCGAACTCCGACATGCGATAATTGCCAATGTTTATCTTAAACGTTGTGGATTCTCTCGTCGTTTTCCCCTCCATTAACGGATTAAAGTGTTAATGCGTGAGAAATTCTTAGTCATAAGTCATCCATCTCTATGATGATGCATCAAGACGGGATGGTTATTATTATTTATCACATATTGTTAACATTTCCCAGAATATTTCACTATATAATTTCAAATTATAGTTTTCACTATAGTCTAAAATAGTTTGAACATTTTACAAGATTATAAATTTTAATTGAACAAAAAAATTATTAAAAAAATATTTTTGTCCAACCACCCATATGAGGCCCAACAAAAAATCGTAAACTTAACTCTATATAGAATTGCTTCTAATAATATAAATAAAATTTCAACAATTTTTAGTTTATACAGTCAATTTTCTTTTTGTGTGGTTTTAAAATTCCTCCGTTAGTTCGGTTACAAACAGTCCGGGATTTAGCGCAACTTGCACTATATATTCCTGTATTGACATTATTAAAAATATAGAAAATTCCTTCAATATTGTTTTAAATAACTCCAAAATTGCAATTTTACACTCATTTGAAGAAATTTTATTTTTTTTTGTATTCAGTATTAGAAAAGCAATTACATTTGTATATAGTTATTGGTTTTGTTAAGATAGAAAACGTTTAATAAATATCAATGTCAGATTCAGTGAGTACGGTAGATGATCTGGCATTTTCAGTGCAACTTCTTAAGTGGAAGCGTCGTTCGGCTGTAAAATAATGTCAAGTCTTGTAAAACTATTGTCTATTCTTTTTATAGTGCCGTCATTTTTAGATGTTTCCAATCCACTTGAACTATAGCAATTTGTGATGTTCAATCAATCGTTATTATATTATTTTTATTGAATAAGTTTTTTAGTAAATCTTGTACGAAATATAGTAAAATTAAACAATTGTAGACTAAATTTATGAAATTATTATTAAATTTATTTGTTCTTTTAAAAAAAACTAATGACCAAAAAAAATTAAATTAATATATGTTTTTCAATAAATCTGTATCTGATTGTACATAAAAAATAAAAAAAAATAATTTCAAGAAGTCAATAATACTATTTACATACTTTAATACATCAAACTTTATACTAAAAAGTTTGATATTTGATTGTAAATGTATATTTGGAATATATAAAAATAAAACAACAGAATCTATACATTGATATAAACATTGATCGTCGATACAATCCAGTTGAAAATAGAAATATAGATTTGTAAATGCATTTTTAAAATAGATTCATGCATCGATCATATAGAACCGGAAATTAAAACCCATGTTTCGAAATATCAACTACAACTATTATTATAAACGATCAATGTTATATAACTATGTGCAATTCTTAACTGAGTTGCCTTTTCTTTAATTACTTGAACTTTGAAATTGATAATTTCCAATTAACACAAATGTTATAAAATGGCTCATTAAATTGAATTTATTGATGTTAATTTCCTAGTAAACTAAAATCATGGAGTTGAATTTACTAACTGCACAATGCCATTCGTATAGTAAACTCTAGTTTAGAATTTAATTTACTAACTGCACACATGTACAATAAAACCTGTTTTTGTGCGGTAGATAGGGACCGCATAAAAGAAACCGCACAAGAAAATATTTGAAATTTTCATAAATTCTTACATATAACAAATAACTTTGTATAATACATTATAGAAACTTTTTTATGTGGTGGAATATAAAAAAATCGCACTTGGAAAATACGTCAATGATTTACGACATACAAGAGAAACTGCATCCAAACAAAATAAATAATTAAATTACAGATGGAAACATTTTAAAAACATTTAATTTCTTATATGGAGAAATTATCAAAATGCACATACATAATTCACTGCTACTCGTGTTAATCTAAAACGAAGATGCTCGTTGAATTGGTTCAAAATCGACTAACAGAATCGTCTGAAGGCTGTACATATGCACGCTGAAAACATTACAATGCGTTGGAACGCCGTTGGAATTCATGTACCGTATAAAAAAGGACCGCACAAAAACAGGTTCTACTGTACACATTTATTCATGCTATTCGCCTAGTAAACTAGAATTGAAGAATAAAATTTACTAATTGCTAATATATAAAACTTAAGATACTAATTGAGTTAATGCACTTTACATCATCTTGATTTCCATAGAAAATGTTACATTTGAGTCGTTTATAACTTATTTTTAAACGAAATTGAATTATTTGTAACAGTTCTTGGATAAACTCCAATTATTATAACATCTAAACGAGGTTTATGACTTTTGTACACATATGAAATCGCTTTATGGGCTAATTACATTAGAACTAGGTCAAGTCTGAACAAATACTTTAATTAATTTCTCGAGTGCTTTGCTCATTTGCGATTATGTAACACAAATTTTATTATTTTACAAAATATTTTTTTATAAATTTATTGTAAATATTATTTAAACGGCAAAAAAATCATTTAAAGTATATTTATATTATTACATCAAAATATTTACAATTAATTTTCTTAACCGGACAGTTTCAAACCTGACTAATCGAGGAAATAAATAATGCTTATAAAAAAAACTATTTTGTGTAATATTTGTTTATTATTTAGTTTATTTTGAAATACGTGAAGAATTTATATATATGTTCATAAAATATGAATATATGAACTTCTATGTTTTATGGAGTGCTTAAAGATTTAATGTTGACTGTATAATTGTAGATGTATAAATATAAATGATCAAATTATGTTATTGAAATGTAATGATGTAACTGGCATTGAATATTATTTTAATTAAACTGAATTGTATAAACTCTAATTACGCTTGTTTTCAAAACAATTTAACAGATGGAGTTGCAATTCTGTGCCAAACGCCCACTACAACTACATTCAAACATTATAAGATTGAACTACGAAAACGGTTTTACTTGTGAAAGGAAACAATTATTCCACGAATAAGTCGATATTTTTGATTAAGTATTAAATACCAATTGATGATTCATTATGATTAATAATTCATCTATATTTCACAAATTTCCTTCCTTCTGCTTGGTTTCTGTTTACAAATCTGAAGAAATGGATAATTGGAATAAAAAAAATAGTTAGTTTTTCTCATACGTACACTTTTTGATTATAAATGTACTTCTGTTCTATTCAGATTATATTTTTATCTTGTAAAATACTTTTTAGATGTTCCTAATATCACGATATGACAAAATTGAATTATGTAAGCGTAAAAATGTGTACGTACGTTTGAACATCGAGTACAATATAACTACATTCATTTATATGTGAATTCAGACCGGTGATTGTACGATAACTGAACGTAAACTATAATCATATCTAAATGTTTATTATTATTTTGAAGTTTCGTTAGATATCGATAAACATGAACAAATATGTTCATGTTTATCAAAATGTATTTGTCTCAGTAATCATTCACATTAGAGCACTTTTACAATTTGCCTGAAATTGACCTCACGAAATGTCTTGAATATTACTCGTTAAACATCACGTGAGACAAAATAAAGTATAACCGATTGGGCTTAAAACAAGAATAATCGTATATAATAAATCGAATGTCCGACGGTGCACTGCGTTTGCTCGAGTTGATTACCGGCTTTGCCGCAGAGGAGGAGGAATTGATAGATTAACATGAACGTCGAAACAAAGCGCCGGTATCCAAACAATTATTCCCGACTGGATTTACGTCACCATTTTAACATGACTTTGGTGAATGAAAAATTGAAATTGTTGTTATTTTCTTGCATGTCGTAAATATGATCAGACATTGAATATTTCATTGGTGGCGGAGGATATTGAACTGCAGTTTGCGTGTGAATGCCTCGTATACACAACCAACCACAACTCTATCCAATTGATTTATCATCATCATCGTCATTTGATGAAAAGGCTAATTATTAATTTTGTCTTGTCCGCAATCGGCGTTTAACTCTTTGACCTGAATAATGCGTGAACTATATTTGATGACGAGATCTATTCATGAATACGCGCATCACATTTGCATTTCCTCCACGCTTCAGATTGTATTCAGACTCTACGAAACTGGAAGTATTCATGTTCTCTGCTCATTCGCATTCGCATCTAATGCTCGAATTAATTTAACTTTTTTAATAAAAGCCCTCGCATTAGTCCAGTTTTTTTTATTTTTATTAAACGTATCTCCCGTTCATCCAGTTCATTATTTTGTCTTACTTCCCGCATTTTCCACGCGCATGCATATTTAAAGGCAATAATTGTTATGGACATTCCATTACGTAATCAGAACCTCGATGTTAATGGTTATTATTATCGGACATGTGTTTGCGGGTCAGTTTCTGCACGTTAAATTGCGATTTTATTCAAATTCTAATCAAACGGTTAAGCTCAAATTTACATTTGAATACATCGCATTTATACGGGACACGTTCGGAAGGCTTGTATTTATTTTTATTATTGTTATTATCAGTGTGCATTCGAAATTACGCCACTAACGAAAACACTAATTGAATAATTATGTATAGCGTTATGTTATTATTTGAGTACTGCAGATTTATTTTGAATCTCATTTACTGAAATGAGTTTAACATGTTTATATAATTAAAAGCGTATTCATTAATATGTTTCAACTCAGTTGAAACTACTTTTAAATATAATAAATTCTAATAGAACCATTTACATTTATCTATTATGATAATTGAATCCGTATTAGATACTTCTAAGAATGATCAGAATAATATTTTTTAACATTTAGTTTAAAGCCGTTTCGGTGCAGAAATACTTTAATTAACAGCCTTTTAGCATACTATAAATGTACTTATTCTTTACAATTATCAATTTAATACCGAAATTAGAAAGTTTTTTTTAATTTCCTTTTGTATCCCTTTTTCAAAGCAGGTATATCAGTACAAATAGTATATAAATGGCAAAATTTTCCAAATTATGTTACTTTTTCGCTAATATCTCTATTTGAAACCGGACTAATCGAGGAACTAAGTAGATACAAAATTGATAAAAATAAGCGGTACAAAAAACAAATTATTTGTATATAAAAAAATAATTTTGTGTAGTAATTTTTTAGATTTTCTTTTTTGTCCTATTAAAATGTAGTTTGATTTAAAATTTTCGAACCGGATTATATGAGGTATCTCTTATATGCAGTTTTAGTAAACTTTATTTACTAAAATAATTCATATGTTATTACAGCAAAACCTCGCATTGTCCGTGAAACAGAATGTTTCGCTAATATCTCTGTTTGAAACCGGACTAATCGAAGAACTAAGACATGCAAGATTGTTAAAAATATGTGGTACAAAACAAATTATTTGTATATAAACATATAATTTTGTGTAGATTTTTTTTGTTCAATTATAATGTAGTTTGATTTGAAATTTTTGAACTGGACTATGTAAGGTATTCCTTATATGTATGTTTAGTAACCTTTATTAAATGAAATAATTAATATTTTAATACAACAAAACCTTGCATTGTCCGTGTATACTGTTCCATTAATATCTCTATTTGAAACCGGACTAATATCGAGGAACTAAGACATACAAAATTGATAAAAATAATCGATACAAAAACAAATTATTTGTATATAAATATATAATTTTGTGTAGTGTTTTGTTAGATTTATTTTTGTTCAATTAAAATATAGTTTGATTTGAAATTTTTGAACCGGACTATTTGATGTATTTCTTTTATGCAGTTGTAGTAACCTTTATTAACTAAAATAATTAATATTTTAATACAGCAATACCTCGCATTGTCCGTGTATACTGTTTCACTAATATCTCTATTTGAGACCGGACTAATCGAGGAACTACGACATACAAAATTGATAAAAATAATCGATACAAAAAACAAATTATTTGCATATAAATACATAATTTTGTGTAGTATTTTGTAAAAAAAAATTTTGTTCAATTAAAATGTAGTTTAATTTGAAATTTTCGAACCGGATTATTTGAGGTATTCTTTTTATGTTGTTGTAGTAACCTTTATTAACTAAAATAATTAATATTTTAATACGACAATACCTCGCATTGTCCGTGTATACTAATATCTCTATTTGAGACCGGACTAATCGAGGAAGGATTATCATTGGAATCATACAAATAATAATGATGAAGATATTTTTTTTTACATTTTTATAAAATAAAGATGTTTATAAGCTATTTTCTTTTCCTCAATCTAATCAATTTTATATGAAAATAAATTAATTACCAACGTTATAGTTTGATTTTCTTAGATGCCACGCGAGTAACGATGCTATGAAAAGTCGCGCGAGTAAGGACAGGTTAAAAAAAGCTATACAAAAGTTTTTGGTAATGAAAAGGGCAGTTTTTTTAAATTTTAATTTAACAATATTTTGATGATCATTCGTTCTATATAAAACGATATATTTTGAAAACATTGAAGAATTAATATTTCTGATTATGATTATTAATTTATAAATTTATTTTCTGTTATAACAAAGGTACAATTACAAATATACTGGTTATTACATAGTTGTATAATTATAGCAGCATATTTATTGCAGTTAGTTATATGGAACGACTTTTTTTTCCAATTATCATCATTAACTAAATTACCATTAAGTAATTTTCTGCAATTGTGAATCTCAAGGTAATTTTCTGACTGCTCCCAAAGAATATATTTTCAATAAATAAAAAATTATATAATCAGTTTTCAACAGTAAAATTAATTGAATATTTTAGTTGAAATTTAATAATATTTGTGAAAATAACAATGCATTATTTAATAAAACAATTGTTAAAACAACTATGTTATTGGAATAAAGTCTTCAAACTAGGAAAATATATATGTATATTTGATACATTTCTATGCACGATGAAAATGAAATGAAAATCTAGTGTCTGTGAATATGAATGTAAACAGATCCTGCCATAAATTCCATAGCATACAAATGTATTTCATATTGGTGCGGATGAAATCCAGAAACATATTTCACGATCCAAGCGAGGAAAGGTTAGATTGGATGGAAGTAGGTAAAAGAATATGTAAGTGGTCTGCGCAAGGAAGGAACGAAAGAAAAACCTGTAAGCAGTTGAAGTGGAAATCTTCCTCGTATAAAAAGAAAGGAAATTTCGTGAAGTGGATATGCATGTGTGTGTGTGTGGATTCATGAGGATATGAAGATTGTTATTGCGTGTATGTCTGGTGCAAAATAAATAGTAAAAATTACAGAAATAATTGACTAATTTATATGCAATCTAAATTAGTGTTTACTTCTACTTTGAGAACGTTTGCAATTGCCCTACTAAAATCATAATTTTGGCAAAAAAATTACATTGATTTTACGATAAGATAGATATTGACTATATAGGTAAAGTGAATGTTTAAAGTTATGCAAATAATTTATTCAGCAATTACAATTTTATATGTTTTTTTTCAATTATAATTATCGTAAATTAACTTTGTTTACTTTAAAGTACAAATTAAAGACTAATTGATTCTTTTTTAGATTTAATAGGTTACATTTGGAATTATAAATAATTAGAAAGATTTAGCTTATTTATAGCTAAATCTTTGCATGGATTTCTTTAATTTTTATCTAGTTATTGTATTTGTTCACAAAACTGAACAGTTATTTTTTAAATAATGAAATTAAATTTGTAGTATTAAACTCAATTATATACTTAATTGTATCTTTCTCTTCAAAACTTAACTTAACTTAAAGAATACTAACGTAATTTAACATTATTCAATTTAACATAGTAAACTATTTATTTACATTTATTTAATTAAAATAACCAAGTTCATTCATGTACCTAGTTTAAAAGGACCTAAAATAACTAAATTTACTAAACTAACTCCACTATACTAATCTATCGTAACCTAAACCAAATTTAAGCAAAACCTAACCTAATATAATAAAATTTACTACTTAATAGCATATATCTAATTTTATACTAAGTTCAAAGCATAATTAACAAACTATTTAGCTAATTTATGAACAAAACAAAATCTTAACAAATATATTTGCAATAACTATTGCTACTATGTATTCAGATAGTTTATAAAGTGCACACTTCAACTGTAAGATTTTCATCAAACCAAACACTGAATATAGAATTGTACTGGGAAATGTATATATCGTCTTCTTCTCCCAGTTCCATCATTTCGGTTTTACGACATACAACTTCCATTTTATTATGCGGTGTGACATATGTCTTTGCCGAAAATACATTGAATGTGCGGTGCCCTAAACTTTAATATTGATTTTATTTTTTTTTTACTTGTTCTTAAAATTTCGCTCTCGTTTCTAATTTTAGAGGCCTGTACCAGCGCCCACGATGATTCGATGACGTGTCCGTTGGAAGTTAGCGAACTGGAGCCGGCCGAAAACGATCTATCCGATTTGGAGAACAAACTTCCGGTAAGCTTATTCCCCATTATAACCGACCTACAAAATAGCAAACTTAATGTTCTATAATTACATATATTTATTATCATTTTCGTCTGTAATCCGGTCTACTCAATTTCTTCTAAAAGTTCGTTTCTATACAAAATAATTCAATTACAATCATTATTTAGTTGTCTTTTTATCTTTTTTTTGACATATGTGTTTGTTGTTACATAACTTTTTTAATTCTCTAATGTTTTCATTTGGACATATTATCCAAACCAGGGGTCGCCAAATTTATTTGACTTTCCATCACTTGCAGACTTTGTATATTTTACTATTACATAATTATGATGCGACAAGCAAAAAACAAATAAGGAAATTTTAGTTTTGAAGTCTAAATGTATCGTCCGAGTTTGTATAATCGTGAAATCTTTAACTTGTAGACTGTACGTCATTAAATTCTGTAAATAAATGCGCCAAGTGGAAAATAGGGTTTTTATTTGTATCCGACACCGACCAATGTCAATGTTATATTGTTTACTTTCCTGATTTACCAACCTTTTTAAATATTACTTGAATTACTGTATTTATTTTTAGCTTAATTTTCTTTCTATATTATTTGTTAAGTTGAATAATTCTTTCTTTTCGTGCTTTTCAGCCTATTTTAGTATCTTAAACTAATTTTTGCTGTTTGATCTAATATTTCTGTAGACAAATAAAGTATGTTTGAATATTAAGAAAATAATTTTATAAAAACATATCTTTATAACAAAATGTCCCAACGTTAATTATTATTAATTTATAAAGAGTTAGAGCAGTACTGAGGTCTTTTTGCAATTCCTTTTTTAATAAGAAAACGACCACTCTTACCTTTCTATTGCGAAAATGTGTGTAAATTTCGATTCGATTCGATTTTGGTACTTTATTTTTAATGTAGTTATTGTATTTGGGTCAGTCGCATCAAATCAAACTTCATATTGTAAAAATGATTATTTAGAATATAAATAAAATGATTCATATATTTTTTTTTCAATTATGTTTCTCCAAAATTAGGGATCAAGTTTTATCAGAGTAAAAAAATGATGTACCAAATATTTTATGACCTTCTATATTTTTTTTAAGTAAATTCAAAATATATATACATTCTATTTTTGCTATGAGTATTTTTAGTCTTGAAATTGATGATTTTCTGACCGAAGAAGGTATTTTACAGTTGAAAGCACGGTACTCATAACGTTTTTTTTTTGCACGGATGATCAAATTCGGAGCAAAGTGATTCCCGATGAATGAATTAATGA